CTATGCACCTAAAATGATCAAGGAACAAAGGCAAGGACCGTCAAATGCTGAGGAAATGCACACAAAGGAGTTACTGGGGCGAGGTCAGGTGAAAGAATAAAGGCTTCTGACTGGATAACTGAGTAGCTCTGAGCAACTGTGCTGAGGCATCTGGTGCTTGAATTCCTATAATCTTGGTCTTGGATTTTACTAAGCAAACATTACTATTCTATCTTTCTATATATTCACACATTAAATGGTTCCCCAAATTCTCTCCAACAGTTTTCTGATCCCTCTCACTGGTAAAAGTTTGAAGCACTTTACCCACCTTTCCACCAGTTCTGAAAGCAAGTAATCAAAAACCATATGTCACCCCAATAAAAGTTAAAAGTACAGAACACCAATTAAAATGTTAACTACCTCAGAGCAAAGCAAAGCATGGATCATTGTGGAGTGGCTACAACCATAAGGCAATTAAGGCAATCAAGAAATTCAAGAGAAGTCTCAGGCAGGTTGTACCAAGGAAGTCTGCTGTTAACCAAATAAACCTAATAGTGCATTTTAGACTCAATATGGAGTATGGTGGTCATTTCGAATTTTCAACTAATTGGATTGCCATGAAATCAGAACAAACCTACAAACAATCCCCTCACACTGTGTCATATTAATGGTCTGATATGCTAATTAAGTCGAATGAGCTATTGTTAATGTTATTATAGTATTTAACATTTGTTAACATTTAATAGTCTGTGCATGCTATTTAAAAGGCAACTCAAAAATTTCCAAATGACTTACATAAGAAACCCACTCAAGTCTGATTATTTGCAATACAGTGGACTTGATATTCTGAAAAGCTCTCCCCATATAAAGCCCCTACCAATGTTTAAAGCATAAAAGGGGAGAGGACTGTTCAGAGGCCAGATATAGAAAATGAAAAATAAGTTCAGAATTCAGAGAGAAAATTGAAAGATGCAGTGTGATGATGATCTTTTTTTATGTATCAGCTTGGCTAGGCTGCAGTCCCGTTATTCAAACACCCATCTGGGTGTTGCTGTGAAGATATTTTGTAGGTGTAATTAAAGTTCATAATCAGTTGACCTTAGGTAAAGATCACTGTTGATCATCAGGGAGGCCTGACTCAATCAGTTGAAAGACCTTTAAGAGCAGAGCTGAGGCTTTCAGAAGAAGAAATTCTGCCTGGGGGACAGCTGCTTCTGCCCATGCCTGAGTTGCAGCCTGTGTTTCCTGAAGGGCCCTCATGGGTTTTGGATTTGCTTAGCCAGCCCCGACTATCATGTCAACCCATTTCTTGCAATAAATGTTTTAATATACATTTCTTACTGGTCTGCTTCTCTGGCTAAATACCGATTGATGTCTGGAGCTAGCTGCTGGTCTGAGGCAACTGCTGCTCCCTCCTTTTGCTCTGGAGAAAAGAGGCAAGTTCAGGATCCACATAGGTGAAAAGTCAGATTAGGCACTAAGTGAAAAAGTGAACCAGAAAACAAAGAAGCAAGCCAGCAAACCTGAACTTGGTTCTCTGGGCTTCATAACTCTCGGTACAGGGGAGAAAACAATTCATGGAGAATCTATAGCCACAAGCCACATATTAGGAACCCAATTTCACAATGGGATACAAGTAGCTTCAACATTAAGCATAAAGGAATCCACTTTATATCTACCAGACTGGCAAAGTTTAAAGTGAGAATATCAAGTAGTGGGCAGGGTATGGAACAGTGGAAACTCTCACTTGCTGCTTTGGACCCTCAACTCTGGAAAGCCATTTTGCATCATCTGGTAAAGGCATAGATATATATATCCTATGCAACATTGATTTCAATCTACTACTATGTATACATCCTTGAGACCCTGATGAACCTGTTCAAAACATGTACAAAAGTGGTCTTTGCAACATAATGAATGTACAATAGCCCCAAACTGCAAGCAATTCAGATCCACTCATAGGAGAGTGGATAAAGAGTCACATAATAGAGAACGACAGCAAATAAAATGAACAAATTATAGCTACATGTCCTGGCACAAACATAATGTAGAGTAACACAAAGTAAAAAAATAAAAATAAAAATCTAATCCATGCATTAAGATTCCATTTCTCTTCGCTGTCTTACTGTACATTATAAAGGTAAAGCCAGGACTGGATCCCTACTTATCCATGTCCTGTATCCAGGCTCACAGCTCTTCAGACTAAAACTATATCCTATTCACAGCCGTACCTGCAGAACTAGGAGAGTACCAGGCACACGGAAGATACCCAATGGATAGAGAATGAATGAATACATTTTGAACACAGAAATGCGTGCCAGGAACCTGACCCTGTGTTTTTAGCCTAGAGTCCTGATGCATGAAACCCTAAATTCTGACCTCACCTGCCTGGACCCTTTCTGCCTTAGCCGATCCTGCTGCTGCTGTCACCTGACCTACCTGACTAGCGTTGCCTCCCCTTCCCCAGCCTCCTAAAACCGAGGTTCCCTCAGACACTTCCACCTAAAAGCCACTCAAGTCCCAGTGTGACACATTCTTGCCAAAAAACCTAAGAGAGAGGAGCTTATCATTGTCAATTAAATGAAGTTTTGAGATTTGCTTTAGATTTAATTCAGGCAAGCTGTATTTTCCCACCATTTAACATAGAGTCCAGAAAGCTGGAGAAAACAAGAACTTTGGCAAGACTTGGCAAACATGAGGCTCAGAAAAGCAAACAGAACTAGCACACAGGTTAAGAAATTTTAGTTCAAACGGATCAAATCAATAACAAAACAGCATCACAATAAACCCCTGAGGTGGGGGGAGAACTTCAATACACTGGGCTATGTTGATAAAGGACTTATTGCGGGATTCCTGGGCACCTTGCTAGGTGGAAAATAAATATAACTGAGGGGACATATTTTAGGGGAAAGCAATGATACATTCCTCTTCTGAAGTACTAGAATACTTTTAAAATACATCTTTTTTCAACACCAAGGGTGTTCCTGCTTTGAACTTTACAAAGACGGAATGCTTTGCACAATGTGATCTTTTCTTGATATAATCACAGTAATTTAATCTCACAACACCAACTAACCTAAGAACGAAGAATATCTTAATGCTGGCTAATGACACGGCTACTGTCAGCTCATGTCATTATCTCTGCAGGGTATCGTGGTTTAAGAACATTGCAATTACCTTGTTTAGCCGGATCACGTTCATTTCAATTTACCAAGTTTTTAAAATTCCGAATGTCAAATACACCTTAAGAATATTCACAGCATGTTAGATTATTCTTGAATTTCTTGCTATCACTTAAGCACTGAATCCCGCTTATCGTTTTAGGAAGGGAGATGGTCACCAACAACTGATAATCAGATGAAAGACCATAAGAACAGAGTTGGGGCTTCCTCGGCATCTAGCAAACACACTTTTCCTTTTTCTTTCTATCGTTGTTACATATACTAGAGACTGCCACTGTCTAGGTTCATCTACCTGGCTACTCATCACTCTCAGTTTCATTTCAAAGATTTACTAGTTTCTACTCTGCACTTAACACTATGTTATATACTGTTTGGAGAGAGAGTTCCTACTCTAATGGGGCTTTCAAGATAGCTGATAAAATAAGATTTATATTCAAGGAAGAGTGAAAGAATAATGTAAAGCCTGAAGGAATGTAAAGCCCGAGGTATAATAGAACCTTGACTTCTGGAGAGTTATCCAGGGGATTGGACTGGTGGCAAACTAAGTCCTAAAATTCCCATTGAGGCTAAGTTATCTGGATTGGTAGCTTTATCGATCAAATCAACCACACAATACGTCTCTTACCTTCTCTTGGTACTTGCTAGAAGGAGATTTAGACAGGAGGTTATCTAATTTCGGACAAAGCTGCAATATCTTACTAAAGAATTTAAGCAGTTGTCCATTTTTGTGTACAGAAAACATCGCAGACTCAGAAGTCTCTTGAAGCTTATATACTCTGCTAAGATTACAGAAGAAACTCCCAGGAAAGTGACCGTCCCTCGGGGTCTGGGTGAAGTCTGTAGAGAAATTACTTGTTCCCTGTTCTTTCAATTTCCTTTCATTTTCGCACTTACAAAATTCACGTTCTTAGTCCCCTTAAACCCTATCAGAATCCACCTTCCCTAATTCCTTTATCATCTACCTATTTTCCCTTNGAATCCACCTTCCCTAATCCCTTCATCATCTACCTATTTTCCCTTTGAAGTCCATGGTTTTCAAATTCTTAAGACATATAAATAATATTATGGGTTACTTTTATTAACTGTCCCCCAGCCCATTATTTTTTAATCTCTGAAGAAAGCATGAACTATACAATATTTAAGAAAATGCCCCAATTTCCAATGGTCCTTTATTGCATAAACTATTATCTCCCACACATTAAAGAGAATGTGGGAGTTGCAAGGAAAAAGCCTGGGTCAGTTTCTCTCTGAAAGCTACCCAAAACTGTTTCACACAAGGCCGAGAGGAGCAGCCCAGGTCATTCCAGGGGCATAGGGGCAGGGAAGCATCCCAGTGACCTACAAACAAAAGGCAACCGAAAGACGTTTAGCTGATTTCATCATCTGGTAATGTGTTGATATTTTTTCAGTTTCTCTTCACCCGTGGTCGGCATCATCAAACACTTAACTCTGCATTTCACATGTAGATCTGACAAGCTCTCTAATAATCTTCCACACTAATGTATCATGACATTGTTGATACTGAAAATCACTTTCTTTAAATTACCTTCCTCTAGGGGGTTCAGAAAAGTGTTGTTTTAAACAAATTCACCACTATGAATATCATATGAGTATCATCAACTAAATGTGGCAAAGATACAGGAACTGCTTTCTCCCTTCCCATTAAGCACATAAAGAGACTTGTAGAGAACTGAAATAATCTATATGAGGGTGCATACTTTTTGGCATTTGAATGGGGAGGAAATGACAGATTTCAATAAGAACAGGTCATGTTGGAATAAAACAATAACAGAACAGAACAAACTCCTCAACCCAGTGAGGAGATTTAAGTAACAATACCCTTTAATCCGCAGGCTGGCTCCTTCCTCTGCCTCCTGTAAACGACGTGTGGGTGGGACTCTCCCTCCGCCTGGGGATGCTTTTTGACAGGCTCAATAAAAAAGTCTCCATGTGGTAGATGGAAAAACCCAGTCTGTAAATATATGCAATAGAAAGTTTTATTTGAATCCATTCTTTATCTATGCAAAGAAAATCAGCAAAGTGAAAATTATACAGATCATGATGATTCCTCAAACTCGTAAGATGGATGCTTTCATAGCTGCCATTTGATCTCACAGAAGAGCTACACATAAGTGATTTAATGAAGGTCTTCATAGTCATAGTTATTAAATGTTTAGGGGTCATGGATCCCTTTGAGACTCTACTGAAAAACGTGCACATATATACACGTATCTAAAGTATAGCATATGATTTTGTAGGTTCATGCATTCCCCCTAAAACCCATAGCTGGGTACCTGTAAATTTTAAATTAAGAGCCAGTGCCTCCTGGCTGCCCTATTGTGGAGTTGGTACCTGAACTCCATGTCCACTGACGGTTTTGTGGAATATTTATTGATCTGGATGTGGACAGCCCAGCTACATGTTCACACAACTGTTTGACTTGATGTGTTTAATGCCATTACGCTCTCAAGAAAACCAAGAATTGTAACATGAAGTCTCTGCTCTGAGACTGGGTGCCCAAGGGTCTACAGTGGAAAACCCTCTGTCAGTTCTGAGGGAAGAGGGGCCCTCTCATTTCACAGATATGGGGNTTCTACAGTGGAAAGCCCTCTGTCAGTTCTGAGGGAAGAGAGGCCCTCTCATTTCACAGATATGGGGATTTGCGATATGCTGGAGAATGCTGGTCAATGGGGAACTCGTTTTTGGAGGTCAGGTCTAGAAGAGGCATATCCTACAGCTCTCTTTTCTCTTTAGGAAAATGTCTTAGTGCCCATTTGAGATACTTAGAAAACTCCTTTGCTAATAGTCTTTTAGGATGGATTTAAGTCTCAGGATCTCAATTCTGTATCAATGAACAATAGGGCTTGCCCTAGACAACCTGCTTGAGGCATCATATTGAGGTGGTCAGAAATTCACACTCTGGAATTAAAATGGGTTAAAATCCCAGCTCCTCCACTTATTAACTTTATACCCTTGGGCAAATGGCTTGCTCAGTTTCAGGTTTCTCAACTGATAAATAGAGATTAATCAAGGGTTGTTGTGGAAATTAAATGAGTTAATATATGCAAAGCTCTTAGAAAAGGGCCTGGTTCATAGTCTCATCTATCATAGGCTCTTTCCAGATCTCAGATTTTATATCATTTCATTGTACAGTCTCCAGAATCAGTATGGAAGTTCAAAAAATTTCAATTTTGCAAAAATAAACCTGGAAACATTGGGGGATCAGGGGAACTGTGAAAGGCTTCCAAAGTTCAAGACCCTCTCTCCCCCGCCCAAAATCTCAGCAAGCCAGGGCTGCTCTGCTCTGCAGAGGACTCTGAAGACAGCTGAGCAGCCCTCAGTCAGGAGACAAGCGGGGCTCCACAAAAGGCTGCTCTCTACTCAACAACCCTGCAGTTGAGTGTCTTTCAAAATGTTTGCTTCATTGCACCAGTAATATAACCAGATCTTAACATAAATCTCCAAAGTTGACTTCCCATTTCGATTACTGACCTTAAAATATCTTTAATAATAAGGAGAACAGAAAAAAGGAACACTTTACTGGCAGTCATAACAATAGCTATGTGACCTTGACTTGGTGGCCCAGCCTGCAAAACAGGGGTAAATCTCTACTACTTCATAGGGCTGTTAGGAGACTCAAGTGAGCTGAAGCTTGTGACAACTGCTTTACAAATGCAGCTTGGTAATGCTTTAGCTACCAACTCTCATAGTGGTTATATCTGACTTCAAATTTGCTCACATTTCTTGGGAGACATTTTTTTTTCTCAGTATCATTCTCCCAGGACAAACTGCTGGGACAGGAAGAACTGACAAGGTCCATATTGCAATAAAATAGCTGGAAACAGACTCGTGCAGTGCTGAGGTTTGGTTTGATTTCCATTCTGAGACTAAGACCAGGAATGCATGGAAGAAGCATGCCTGTTGCTAATGAAGCTCATTTGTTCCATAGAAGCAAAGAAGTCAAGAGGTCCTTAGGGATGGCTGGCCTGGGGTCCCTTTGTGACACTGCTATCATCCTAATACTGATGTCCATGAAGAAGAAAAAAATCACCAACAGGAAGGTTTTATTGGTATTTCTTCGGCCTCAAATTTTGGACCCAGGTGGTGCAGAAGAAACAGATGGGACTCCAGCTGAGAACATAATAACTATTTTATGGGCAACATGAATGAGAACGCCTGGAAGCCAAACAAGCATCTTCCGAAAGGCTCACTTCCATTTGCATTCCTCCCCAAGGCCAGCCGGGCCAGCGTGCGTCCACAAATCACCTAATCAGCCTAAATATTTCTCCAAAGGCAGGTGAAGACCTAAGAGAGCTGGGTGGCTGACCAGCTGGAGGGGAAGCAGGACACCGGCTCACATGCAAGTGGGGCTGCTGGCCTCAGAACCCCATGAGTGTGTCACAGAGAAGGGACCAGGCAGGAGGGGGGATGAAGAGACCTCTGCTGTTGTGGTGGAGAGTGAGGTGGGAAGATTGCCCAGCTGAGCTCTGGACCTCCTCTCTCCCTCCCAACATATAAATACAGACTTTGTGTACCTAGTATACCCAGGAGGCCATGGTTTATTGGTCTCTCTCATTTAACCAAGGCCAGGTCATGTTGGAAGAAATCACATACAGTTTACTTTGCAAAGGAAGGACTGGCTCCAAGCCTCCCCCAAAGCTAACTGCCCAAGAGAATCACCTTCTATTGCTAGTTCTGGATTTGAGCTAAAGAAGGTGCTCTTCATTCCAATCTTCCCTACAATCTGCTCACCTCTCCCGTATCTTTGAAGGACAGTGGAAGGAATTGATTTGAGGATAAAGTATCCACTTCACTGGGGGCTTGCACTCTGTTCCCATGAACACCAAGGTGGAATAAGCCTCAGACAGAAGCTTAAAGAAGACCAATTTGCCCTTTTATCTTCTCTGCCATCTACTCTCCTCCACACTAACCCTCTTTTAGAAATAAACTCACCTCTTTGTTTTAACAAAGTTCTAAGTATCTGTGAATGCTTCCCAAGGCTATCTTGGAAAGGCTGCCTTAAATAAACTCTATTTTGAAGTATGGTAAACATACAGAAAGATTACAAGTCAGAACTGTAAAGTCCCATAAATCTTCCATAGAGGGAACAGCTTGATGGAGAAACAGAACATGCCCAGCTGCTGAGACACTCCTGGGTCCCCCTTCCAGGCAATAACATCCTCCACGGGTAACCGTTACTCTGATTTCTGACACTAACAAATTAGCTTTAAGCCTATCCTGAATTATGTACAGGAAGCATTACTTGACATAAAAGAAAAATAAGGTGTCCTAATGCATCTCCAGTGCTAGGGAGTGGCCAATGGAAAATATTTTAAGGCAGGTGGATTTCTCAAGACCCATTAGATTGGACTCTTCATATTGCTTCCTACTCACCAGGCAAGCCCAGCTGGTGGGGCTGAGACAGGGCTGGGCTACCTTGGAGAGTCAGTTGGCACTGAGCCTCTAATGCTCTCTGCTAATGAAAGGTGGAGAGGGACCTTCACAGGCTCTTTAGAACCGATTTCTCCTTCCTCGTGTCAGGTTGAAAATACCTCCTTCTCCTGAATTCCCATCAAAGTGTTCGTCATCATGATGTACTTGACATTATACTTCAGTTAATGCAATGATTTGGGGTCCACTGGGAAATTGGAAGCATCTTACATGGAATTTGTGAGTAGAGTATTCTAGAATCATAAAGCCAGAAACCTTTAAGTCATCGAATTTCTATAGTCTGCAAAGTACTTGGCACAGTCTTAACCCCATGGCAGCCTCCCAGAATCACTCACTTTCTTCTGGCTGGTTTGCAAGAGGCAGAACAACTTTTTCTCATTTAATATGTAGCCAGGACCCTAAGTCAGAAGTCAAGGGGTAACAGAAGCTTTGAAATACAGAGAAGCAAAACTACTGAGAAGATTCCCCCAGGAGCATCCCAGCCCCTTCTCTGATGCTAAGGTAATGTCATTGATTCATGAAGATGATGCATATTAGTCTTGGAAGCCCTAGTAACTCATGTGGTTTAAGGAAATAAAGCCCAAGCCAGAAAGACATTCTCTGCTGCATCTACCTAGAAGTTACCATGTGAATGTAGGTGTTATAACCTGCAGAAAACCTGGCCCCTACCTCTCACAACAGTACTGTCCAATAGAACTTCCTGTGATGATGGAGATGTTCTATGTCAGACCGTCCAATTCAACAGCCACTAGCCACGTGTGGCTATTGAGCACTTGAGATGTGCTTAATGCAACAGATGAACTGAATTTTTAATTTCATCTAACTTTAAGTACTAACTTAAACAGCCACAGGAGGTTAATGGCTGCCATATTGAACTGCATATTTCTGGAGACTGGCTGACTAGGGAAGGAGTGAGATCCATAAGCAGTGATAAGTGCTGTAATTAAAGGCAGCACTGAAAAGAAAAACAAACTGCCAAAATGTGACATTTCACTAAAACAGTTTGTTTTTCGTGATCAAGTCGATCAGGAGCCAGCTTGGAAACATCCATGTATTGCACTCAGACTTGGGGGAATTGAAAGAGGAAACTAGGTATAAATGATGCAACATTTGCCAAAATTAAAATGAGTCATCGGGAGCAAATCTGGCAGGACAAGGGCTGTGTGAGGTGGCTGTCATTGTCCTGAGACCAGAAAGGAAGGAACTTGGATGTCCCAGCAGAGGCCTGGGACTGGGGTTATGATCATACAGAATTGGAAGAATTGGAAGCCTGGATCCACTTCTAGAAGGAGTTGTCCTCATAAGAGCCCTGGAGTAGCAGCCTGCATGTCCTCACACCCCTCTGATGCTCTTCAGAGGAGCCTGCCACAGCCCTAATATATACAAAACCACATCCCATCACTGGCTGACAGTTCAGAGTCCAAGTAGTAGAAAAAATATCCTTTTATTGAGAAATGGGTGATATGGATTCCAAAAAAATTATAAGATCAAAATGCTATGACAAGGTTTAATAGAAATGGC